TTATTCCAGGCAACACAGGGCACAGGGAAAGGGCACAGCTTATTCCAGGCAACACAGGGCACAGGGAAAGGGCACAGCTTATTCCAGGCAACACAGGGCACAGGGAAAGGGCACAGCTTATTCCAGGCAGCACAGGGCACTAGAATGGAGTAAGTGCCCAGTAAGTAGGAAACCCACAAAAATTGGGCTAAACGTACAAGGACAGCAGGAGTCTAAGCCCCATTTCAGGAAATCTTACACTGGCATTTGATTTAGCCTGAGAAAGCAGGGCCATTTCATGTACCTACCGCTTTTATCCAAAAACAGCCTTGCGTTTATTATGTAAGGGGTCGTCACGGTGACGCAAACCAGCCGTCCTCCCAGTTAAAGTTAAAGGACGTGACAGTGAGTAGTTCTCTTCTATTAAGTGCTGCCTTCGTTGCACTGAGACCCAGATGTTTTCAGGTATTAGGCTGTTTACTGGGCTCAGGTTGTTTAACTGCGTACTCTGCTAACGGCTTCTGTCAGCGTCGTGACAGATGTTTTTAAATATTTTACCCATTTGCTGATGTGGGACCCATTTGCTAATTTCTGGGAGGGGGTACAGAGAATCACAGACATTTTCATGCATATTTGTATAAATGTAAATTACATATATATGTAGACATTAGTGCTGTTTCACTTTGTGGTCAGAGAGCCAAGGTTTCTTGATTGAGACACATTGAAAAGGCAGAGAAGAGTGGTCAGGAAGCATTGACCCCGAGACGGACCCCTGACCCCAAGACTGACCCCTGACCCCGAGACTGATACCTGACCCCGAGACTGACCTTTGACCCCAAGACTGACCCGTGACTCCAAGATTATTCCCTGATCTTGGAGAGTCCTGAGGAATGTGGGTCACCTTGTGCCACTTCAGAACGCCTCCAATTTGAAATGACCATGACCCATCTTTGTCTCCATCTTTATCCTTCACAGAGATGCTGTTCCTCCTCCTCCTCCTCCTCTCTGCTGTGGTTCCAGGCTCCGCCCAGGAGGACCCCCCTCCCCGTGGCTGTCCGTCAGACCTGCCGCGGACTTACTGGGCCCTGTGCAGCCTGGAGGCGGTGTGGGGTGTGGTGCTGGAGGCGGCGGCGGGTGCCGGGGCACTGGGAGCACTGCTGCTGGCCATGGTGCTGCTGTTGTACCGCCTGCGGCGCATCGACGAGCCGGAGCAGCGCAGCAGGGTGGCGCCACTGCTCCTGCTTCTGCCGGGCGTGGCGACACTTTTTGGCCTGACCTTCGCCTTCCTCATCGAGGATGGCGAGCCGCTCTGCGTGGTGCGCCGCGCCCTCTGGGGGCCGCTGTTCGCCCTCTGCTTCTCCTGCCTGCTGGTCCAGGCCGTCCGGCTTTGGTGGCCGGCGCGGGGCGGGAGCCCCCGGGGCAGGGTGAGCCCGAGAGGTGCCGTGCTGTTGGGTCTGGCCGTGGCTCTGACACTGGTGCAGGGCATCATCACAGCTGAGTGGCTGCTGTTGACGGTGGTGCGCCTAGATCTGCCAGCCTGCCAGTACCAGCCTCTGGACTTCGGGCTCTCCTGCACCTATGTAGCACTGCTGCTGCTGGTAGCTCTGCTGGCCTCGGGCTGCACCCTGTGCCGGAGGGGGCGGCGGCGCCGCTGCGAAGGCGTGTGGCTCTTCCTGGTCTGTCTGACCTCGGCACTGCTGTGGGCTGCCTGGCTGAGCTTCTATCTGTATGGCAACGAGGCCCTGGGCCGCTCCCCCAACTGGGATAGGCCCGTGCTGTCTGTGACGCTGGTGGCGCAGGGCTGGCTCTTACTGCTGCTCTATGCTGTCCCAGAGGCTCACGCCTGCCTGAGTCCTTTGGCCTCGGCCTCAATCCCGGACTATTTTGACACCTCTCAGTCTCACCCACGCATGAGGGACACAAGCGTCTATGACGTGCTGCCCATGCAGTACATGGAGAACCAGGCCTTTGCCTTTGACGAGCACAACGCAGGTACTTCACCTTCAGCTACTCCATGTTTAGGTGTTCCACAGTGCAGGTACTGTACACTGCAGGTGTACAACAGTGCAGGCATTCAACACTCCAGGTGTTCCACAGTGCAGGTACTCTACACTGCAGATGATCAACAGTATGGGTACTGAACACACCAGGTGTTCAGCATTGCATGTACTCCACGTTGCAGGTGTTCCACTCAATTCAGTTTTATTTGTATAGCACATTGTCACATTACATTGTCTGAAAAGTGCTTTACATTGCCCCTGCCCAAAGCCCCCAGTAAGCATGCCAGAGGCAACAGTAGCAAAGAAAAACTCTATACTGTAGGTGTTCTACAATGCAGATATGCAATACTACAGGTGATCCACTGTGCAGGTATGCAACACTGCAGGTATTCCACAGTGCAGGTACTGTACATTTCAGGTGTTCCACAGTGCAGGTACCCTACCCTGCAGGTGTTATACAGTGCAGGTGTTCTTCAGTAAGGTGTTCTGCAGTGCAGGTATGCAATACTACAGGTGTTCCACAGTGCAGGTTCTGCGGAACTTACTGCATATTTATATCAAGTTATGCCACAGGCAACATTAACATGGAGGGAATTCATTTTGAAGTTTCTCCATAAAAATCCATACTCTGTGTGTTATCTGCAGCTCTGAGGTCAGGCGGCAATCCCAATGGGCATTTGGGCATCCGGAGCAGCGCCCCCTTCCGTAGCAACATCTACCAGCCCACTGAGATGACCGTGGTGCTGAATGGGGGCACGGTGAGTGCCTTTCACTGGGGGTCAGTACTGCAGTTAGACTCTCTTAGCTGCTCTCTGTCTCACCAGCCAGAGACGAAACGTACCTGTTATGCAGCAAGGCCTAGAGCCAGAACTGGGTGGGGGGGGGGGGGGGGGGGGGGGGCGGGTGGGGGGGGGGGGGGGGGGGGGGGGGGGGGGTGGAAGGGCTCGCAATGTCTATAAATGAACGTGTGAGCTGGACCCAAGCACAGACAGGGCCTCAAAGTGGGCCAGACTCTGTCCCGGCTGTAAGCCAACCAGTTATTCAGCACCAGGACAGGGTTCTGCTAAACTGCTAACCACTATATAGCGAAGCTAACTTTGGCAGATTAGCGTTTCTGCAAACATGTGGATTTACAGTTAGTGGAATTACATTTAGTGGAAGCTATTTGGTCCGCTAACAGTTTTCAAAGTCAACTTGTCAAAAATGTTGGCTGACTATATGTAAACATGAGAGGTGATTGGTCGATAACTTGTTTGATTTAAGGTAGTCTGAGCTAAATGTAAGTGAACGAAAATAAAGTCCAGTTAAACTGGGGTACCCTGAACTAAGCGAAGAACAGGAGTCCATATCATGAAGCAGGATTTCTTGTTTATCCGGATTTAAGATAATTTAAATGGACTTAAAATGGTCTACTATGCTTGTCTATAGAGGCCCCCAGTTGTATTTTCCGGGTTCTGATTGACAGAGCTATAGACCAGTAAAGAGCTACGATTCTCCTTTCTAGGTCCGGGTAAATGGCGCCATGTTTGTAGGCGATAAGCAGCTTCACGAGGGCAAAATACCAGCATCGGTCAGCCCCGTAATAGGGTTCCTCAGACAAAAACACTTATACCTCGCAGGCAGGATATCATAGAAAGAAAATTTCAGTGCAGATTTTTTCCAAAGACTCTACAGAGTGCAATAATACCTAATTGGGTAAGTCCTAAACATCTAGTCCAAGTTAGTGGTTATTGTTAGCTTCCACAAATTTTTTAGTGATTTATCAGTTTATTGTTATCAAATTAAACTTTGGAGTTAGCAGATTAGCGGCTATCAAAGGTGACTTTGCAGGCCCAGACGACTGTGCCCACCACTGCTCACAAACAACACTGCACTCACCTGGTGGTGCGAGGCACACGCACACATGTAGCATGTCACACTGACAGAGACTGTCACACACACCGAGCCGCACGAGGCACACGCACACATGTAGCGTGTCACTCTGACAGAGACTGTCACACACACCGAGCCGCACGAGGCACACGCGCACATGTAGCGTGTCACGCTGACAGAGACTGTCACACACACCGAGCCGCACAGGATCTCACGCATGCTGATATTTAAGGCTTTTTAACTTACTGTTTTAATATAAATACAATAATATTAACCCTAACCCTTTAATAATATAGCACTAATGATGATGGTAATATTAACAATAATGTTAACTCAGGAGATACATTTCCAGTGACCCCCCCCCCCCCCCCCTCCGAGAGCCTGGCATGCTCATGCACACTGCCCAGCCAGGTGGGGCTCACCAGCTGCTTCCCCACCTTGGCTCTCCCCCTCCCCAGGACGCTCACAGCCGCTGTCCCAGCATGAACCACTCCCAGCCAGGGACGTTCCATGACTCATTCTGGCAGCGCTGTCCTTTTGGAGGATATAGGTCAGTAAAAGGTGTGAGGGGTCAGCTAAAATACGGGGGGAGGTCCTCAAGGGTACACCGTCATGGCCTTGGTACTCTGGGGCTGTGAACTTTATTTGAGCCCCAAGGAAACATGGACATTACTCCTAACACCATGGGCAGGTCTGAGATCAGTGTTAGGGTAGCGCAGGGTGAAGCCCAGTGTGGAGGAAAGTCCTCGAATCAAGGATAGACCACCTGATTTTGGCTGTTTTGTCTTTTTCCCCAGATCCCAACTGCACCCCCCAACTACACAGGAAGGCACCTGTGGTGAGGGCAGGGCTGGAATTCAGGTGTCCACCTCCAGGAGTTGGGGTTGGGGGGGCACAGAACCGTGGACCCAGGAGGTAGACCGTCAGCAGGGCCTGTTCCTGGATGCCAACAAGAAACCAATGCACTACTTTGTGTCCGAGAAAGATTGAACTGGCAAAACCGATGGTGGAGGAGGAGAATCTGGAAAAGTTAACATCTATGTGAGGAACAAACTGCGGTCATTCACCCAAACGTGGAGAGCAGTGGGAACAGGTTGGGTTTGACAATGACAGTGGATATCCCCTCGTGTGAAGGATGGACATGATGATCTTTCACCTTTGACAGTAGAGGTGTCAAGGTGGAGACAATGTTACATCTTCTGAACCCACTGGGATGATCAGATCCAACATGAGGTATCCATGTGTTTGGGCTGGACTTTCGGATGGGCAGTGGACTGATGACACTGTCCATTGTGCCAGTTTTGTCTCTGTGTGGATCCACGTCACACTGTGTGTCACGTTCAGTCTTTTGACCTGGTGCTGGGATTCAAGCTGCGGACAAAGGAACCACAGTAACCATAGTTTTTTGTTGTTTTTGTAGAGCAGGTCCTGAGAAGAGTGACTGTTTTTTGCATGATATGTGGAAAGAGAGTCATTCATGGTGGCTGCATTGTTCTGGTGTGATTGTGAACACGCTAATGGCCCAATCCAGGAGCACGATGTTGGGGTTTTCCCATTGGACGTATGAGGATGCCTGGTTCCGGTTCTGTTGCTTGGTGTGGGATACAAAACAAGCCCAGGTGTAACCCCTGGAGTCAGGAAGTTTCATCCTCTGTTTCTCATTTTCTGGATTTCACTGTCCACTTCTGAGACTTTACCAGATCCCCGACAGTTTTGTTTCTCTTGTTGATTGGTTGAAAGCCGATACAGCAAAAGTTTTTCACTCTCAGCCTCAGCGATTAATCCAGAAGTGGCACGTCTTCTCCGGGTCAGCCGTGACAGATGCTGCTCTTCTTGATTTTGAAGAAACATGTCATTAGTTTAGCTTCAGGACTCATTTAGGGATTAAAATAAATCAGGAGATTGAGAATCATGGGTCTCCCAAAACTCAACAAAGCATAAAGACGCAGAAAGTATCAGATTCTCCACATTCTCTGGTTTTGATGTTGTAGCTGACTGGACAAACGATAGAGGTTTTACTGTGTCTGAGATAATAAGATGGAACATTCGTCCCGCTTTTCCCCCTTATGAGTGACTTATGAGTGCTAAGAGTGACTGACTTTTGCTGTAACTTGCCTGTCATCTTTAAAGGTTTATACTGTGCTGTCTGGACAGACGACTGGACTATTTATACATTTGTAAGAGAAGCCGTCGGTTCTCACAGTGATGTTTTCCACCTTATGACGTTTCTGCACTGGCATCAGCCCTGGGTCCTGGGGTGACCCCGACCACCCCAGCCCCCATGTTCGGGCTGGAAATGCAGGCCGGAGCCCCAGATGGGGAGAACCTCAGGCAGAGCTGGACGGGAGGGCGCACAGAGTGACCACCGACGGCTTCTAAGATTTCGGGCCACCAACATACTTTTGCACATCCAATCCCTCTCTTTAACTAACAGACCTGTAAGACGATTTAGCTCTACAAGTGCAGAATAATATTTTGTGACAGGCTAAAAAAATATTCATAAGCACGATGTAACAAATAAAAGAAAAGTATTTGGTGGGACAGAGGACTGAATGTTGGGATCATTTTGTTTCTTTAATGAGTGGTTTTCTTTGGTACTCTGCTACGATCCCTGGTCACTGGGGGCACGGCTGACTCGGGTGCTCTCACTGTGGGCTTTGGATGAGGGGCCTGGCCCACACCTTGAGTTCCACGCCTCCTGTGAGTCGCCATGGCTGCAGACCGTACCACGGTGGCCCAGTGGTGGGGGGGGGGGGGTTCCATGCTGACAGCACTGAGCTTCGCGCTGTTGACCTAGAGAGGAAAGCTTTGCGTTGTTGACCTAGAGAGGAAAACTTCCCACTGTTTTCACGGGAAAAATGGTAGAAAATAAAGTGCAAGGTTTCTTGTTTACAAGTCTGACTTGCATTTTTTATACATTGTAAAACGACCTTTTGTTACATCACACTCCCTCTCCTGTTCTCTCTTCCTGTTTCTCTGTCTCTTTCCTTTGTCTTTTTCTGGCACACTCTTTCACTCTGCTTCTCCCTTCCCATCGCTCACTCTACCTCTCCCTTCCCATGGCTCACTCTGCCTCTCCCATCCCATCACTCACTCTGCCTCTCCCATCCCATCACTCACTCTGCCTCTCCCTTCCCATCGATCACTCTGCCTCTCC